TGTGTATCCTGGAAAGCAGCTTGGCAGGAAATGCCGATGGTCCTGATGGGCATCAAGCTGACCATGACCCAGCAATGTGCCCTTGGGCTGCATCAGGAGGAGCGTTGTCATTAAGTGGAGGTGTTGGTCCTTCCCCTCTGCTCACCGATGCTAAGCTGGGGATGCCCGATCCCTGGAAGTGTTCGAGGCCAGGCTGGATGAGGCTTGGAGCAACCTGGTCTAGTGGAAGGTGTCCCTGCCCATGGCAGGGAGTGGGACTGGATGGGCTTTAATGTCCATTCCAACCCAAAAGATGATTCTGGAGATTCTGTCCTGCAGGGAGGGTGCCAAGAGGATGGATCCAGGCTCTTGTCAGTGGTACCCAATGACAGGACCAGAGCTATGGGCACAAACCAAAATACGGGAAGTTCTCTCTCAACATCAAGAAACACTTTTCACTCTGAGGGTGATCGAGCACTGGCACAGGCTGCTCAGAGAGGTGTTAGTCTTCATCCTTGGAGGTAAGCAGCAGCTGCCTGGATATGGTCCTGGGCAACCTGGTCTAGGTGGCCCTGCTTGAACAGGGAGTTGGATCAGATAATCTCCAGAGGTTCCTTCCCAACCCTTTTGTGCTTCCATGCCTTGTACTGCAGCGGTGTGTGGCCAGCCTGTCCGGTGGTGACTATCAGGTATGCATGGCCAAGAGCTGCAGCACGTGGTGGGTACATCCCTTCCATAGCAGTTGTTGTCAGCACGGCCGTCTGATGGACACACAGGAGCCTGCCTGCTGCCCTGTGCTGCAAGTGTGGGGTCACACACTGACCTGGATGAAGCCAGATCACCCAGTTGTGGCAGTAATCAATTTATCGTTCTGATAAATGAATGCTGTAAACGTGGTAGAAAATGGTAGGCAAAGTCAGGAGGTACCTCTCAGCTGGAAGTTTTAAACATGGGAAGGGAGAGAATCCTCTGCAAGTGCGAAGTGATGAGCTAGAGTTGCCCTAATTGTTGGGGAAAAACAGTTCTTGGCCTTGGGCCAAGTGTGTCTGCCAGGTCTGGGGAGTTGTGTGGTCTGTATGGTCTCAGTGGAGTTTTAAACAGGAGTTCTAAAAATCGTTAGAGTGAGTATAAGATGAAGAAAGCTTCTTGGAAGTGTTCAGCGCCTGTGTTTTCCCCTGAAGTCACTAGAAAACCTGTGGGCTCCATGGAAATAGAGTAATGCAGCAGCTCGGGAGTACTTGAAAATCTGGTGGTGCATGGGAAGAACAAAACTTGCAGTACAATAAAGCAGCAAGGGAGCAAGAGTAATTCAGCTTGCCATGCATGCTGACTGTTAAGTAATAAAATATTTATGGAGGAAATGTTGTGCAAACCCTTTTGAGCAAAGGATTTACCTGTTAAGATAAAAACCACTTTTGTAACGGAAAAAAACCCTAAAGAAGTGTCTTGTGTGTTACTTGAGGGGATGTGCAGCTGTAATTTGAGACCAGTGTTGCTGGGGGTTGATTGTAGATGCAAATGAACACAAATCTCTGTTCTCAGACTTCATGTAAGGTCAACTTATTAAAAGAAAGATGGGAAGGTGGAAAAATCTCTTGGGTCTGACACAGATGCAAACTTAATACTTCTTTTTCAGAGCAGCTGTCTAGAGGGAAGTTTAAGGGGTTTGTCACTATGTCTGTGACACTGAGTGTTGTGAAGTATTTGTGGCCCTAAGTCTCTCTAGAAGGGCAGGGGCTCATGGTCAGCCGCGTGTAAATTCCTGTTCTGGTGGTGGCGTGCAAGAACAATCTTGCTGTATGTTTAAAAGTGTTTTAAATCTACAATTTTCCAATGGCCCTCATGTCCAGAGGAAGCCATGGAGATGCTCCGAGGGCTGGAGCCCCTCTGCCATGGGGACAGGCTGGGAGAGTTGGGCTTGTTCAGCCTGGAGAAGGGAAGGCTCTGGGGAGACCTTATAGCACCTTCCAGTGCCTGGGGGGGCTACAAGGAAGCTGGGGGGGACTTTTTACAAGGGCCTGTAGTGACAGGACAAGGGGTAACAGGTTTAAACTGAAAGTGGGGAGGTTTAGATTAGATACTGGGAAGAAAGTGTTCCTGGAGGGGGTGGGGAGGCGCTGGGACAGGTTGCCCAGCGAAGCTGTGGATGCCCCCTCCCTGGAAGTGGCCAAGGCCAGGCTGGATGAGGCTTGGAGCCACCTGGTCTAGTGGAAGGTGTCCCTGCCCACGGCAGGGGGGTTGGAACTAGATGGTCTTTAAGGTCCCTTCCAGCCCAAACCATTCTGTGATTTTGTGTTGTATATCGAGACAGCTCAGGCTCCTCCTGGCCATCCAGTCCTACCCCCTCTGTTTCGTGGGCAAGACTGAATATTCACGGTGTTCTATGTGGCTGGGCAGAGTGCCAGCTTGTTGCATATGCTCCTGCAGCGGAGCACCTCTGTATACCTGCCTCCCCAGCAAAGCTGGCTGGGGAGTATGGAAGAGGTGGGTGAAGTCATCTTGGTGGGTAATCCTGCCCAAACATCATCTTAGGAAATAATGGCTTTGCTTCGTTTTTTCTCAACCCCAACAAGGAGTTCATTGTTCACACTGAAACAATTTTAAATCTCTGCTTTCTGTCAGGAGCACGGGATGTGGAAAAGCAAGGAATTGGGGCATTGGGTACTTGAATGATGCGAGTTGTGGTGAGTCAGAAGCCGAGATGGTTGTAGCTTTGTTGCTTAGCTGTGAAAAGGGGCTTTCTTGCAATATTTCTATTTGCCTCATCTTTTCAGCTTGTCATATGAAAATCATAAGTGTTGTAAAGAAATACCAGCAGCGTTTCCTGGATCCCCAGTGAGTCAGCCGGCCATGTTTTGGGAGGAAGGGGTAAGGTTAGGATGTTCCACTTGCTGCTGCTGGCAGACAATATGCAGGCAGCAATGCAGCCCCACGAAGCAGATGAACCAGTTCCCCCGTGTCAGCCTTGTGTCACTCCTTGGCTGTCTGCACTGGGGTTTCTGCCAGCTGCGTTGGGCCAAGCCCCCTGTGTGCCTTGCGTGATCCTACTCTGCACTGAATACTTCTGAAAGAAAACATCCAATCAGGAGACTAAAGAAAGTGTTAAGAACAATAACAATTTCTAGTCTCAATTTCTGGGAATAATTCTGGCAACCTTGTGTATAATTTTAGGTGTGTTTGAGAAGGTGTTTCACTAATCATGAAGGGGTTATTTGATCTCTTCCCCTCCAAAAGTTATCACTGAAAATGGCCTTTGTTGGAGATTGGGTGCTTTTTTTTCTTTCAGATTCAAGAGAAACTGGTTTAATGAGGTGTACTTTACGCTTTTGACTTAAGGTCTATCTTGACCAGTGCAAAGGATGTTTCTTCTTAAACTTGTCTACAAGTATAATCTTAGATCTAGGAATGGGCTGAAGGTTTTGCAGTGTTGTGGGAAAAATCCTACACGGGATTTTGAACTTGCCTTGAGTACTGGAAAAGTGTAAGGGGGAGAGCTCAGATTTACATTAGGAAATATTTTTTCTCTCCACTTCAGAAGTTTAGCTCTGGGATTCATCTGCAAAAGTAAAACAGGGAACAGATCGTTACCTAAATTGCCTTCCAGTCTGAGTGACCTGACCCTGCTCTTTAGGCTTCAGTATCTTCACTTTGCATTAAAAATTATGGGTAAAGTCATGGCTGTTTCTCAGTTGGTGGTGGGAAGTCTGAACTTTCTTTAAGCTGGTCTTTACTCAAAGTCTTTTATTTTTACCTCCTTACACTTCCCTTTTCTGTTTGGAAATTTTAATAGACCTCTTGCATTTCTGACCAGAACCGAGACAGTCCTGAATGTCGCAATAAAACTACTGTGAAAGTGCTGGTCTATATTTGCATTGATAGAGTTTGGGTAAGCATCTCCTTGAACTCAACACTGGACCCTCTGATGTTGACTTACTGTCGTGGAGCTTCGCTAGTCCTGGCTTTATAGGGCTTCTGTGAACTGGCTTCACAATGTCCTTTTGAATTTGTGGTAGAATCATAGAATGGTTTGGGTTGGAAGGGACCTTAAAGATCATCTAGTTCCAACCCCCCTGCCATGGGCAGGGACACCTTCCACTAGACCAGGTTGCTCCAAGCCTCGTCCAGCCTGGCCTTGAAGACATCCAGGGATGGGGCATCCACAGCTTCTCTGGGCAACCTGTTCCAGTGCCTCACCACCCTCTCTGTGAAGAATTTCTTCCTGACATCTAATCTAAACCTCCCTGATTTCAATACCCATTACCCCTTGTCCTATCACTACAGGCCCTTGTAAAAAGTCCTCTCCCAGCACCCTTGTAGCCCCTTCAGATACTGGAAAGCTGCAATGAGGTCTCCTCGGAGCCTCCTCTTCTCCAGGCTGAACAAGCCCAGTTCTCGCAGCCTTTCGTCATAGGAGAGGTGCTCCAGCCCTCTGATCATCTTCGTGGCCTCCTCTGGACTCGCTCCAAGTGGTCAATATCCTTCTGATATTGAGGGCTCCACAGCTGGATGCAGCACTCCAGGTGGGGTCTCACCAGAGCAGAGTAGAGGGGCAGAATCACCTCCCTCGACCTGCTGGCCACACTACTCTGGATACAGCCCTTTGCTAGCAACAAGGTTTTTCTCGTTTCCTCACAGTTGGTCCGTCTTTAGCATTTCCTGTGTGTGCTTCCTTGGCGTTGTGTTGAGCACGCTGAAAATAGGTAGAAAACCGGGTGTAGGTAGGAGAGTTGAAGAACGCAGTCTGTCTAAATCACTTGCAGAAGTATAATGGAAATATTGAGGATTCATTTGTGTAAAACCTCCTATAGGAAGATTAAATTATGAAGCAGAGTGTCTTCAGGTTGTGTTTAGAAGTACGGAACTACTTGCAAAGCTGGGACTGGGTTATGCAAAAGAGCAGGGCTTTATGTTCTCTGAATATGACAAATGATTAACTTTGAACTTTGCACATCAACTTTTACACATTGGCTAAGTCACAAGGGTGTTTTGTTGCGCGTGTTTAGACATGACATTGCCGCTAGATGCGGATGACTCGCTCACCTGCCAAAAGCATGGCTTACGCCTTTTCGTACCCTGGCTACTCGGTCTGTGCTGCCTTTCCTGTGGTGCAGTCATCCCCGCTCTGTTTCCCCAGGGACTGCCTGCCTTCGTCACCAGCCATTCTGAGGGTCTCAGTCCTGGTTTTCTGGTGGGACTGTGGGCACTCAGTTGATGACAGCTGTGGTGGGACATAGCACCCTGGGTGCTGAGCTCCACCAAAGGCTCATGGCCTCAGGAACAAAGTTGGTATTGGTGGCTGGTGTTTGGGGTACAAGAGCATTGCCATGTTGTGTGTTTTCGTTGTGGAGGATTATGTCTCGGTGTATGCTAGGGAGTCATGGTGCACCTGCCTGAAACTTCCCCCAAACCTAGGAAACCAAAATGCCATTACACTCCAGCCATAATCAGGGTTACCAGAGCAGCTTCAAAACCCAGCAACAAATGCAGTCAGGAGTTACAGACAGGATGGGACGACAGTGACAGTAACTGTGTCATTATTTGTGTAATGCTTTTAGCCATGCACGCTGCTAAATAGGGAGAAATCTGTAAGTCCACCCAGAGCATCACGTGGTTCCTGCTGTGGTCACTCAGATGTCTTCCATGGGAGCAGGGGCCTAAATCTGAACCCTTTTAGGAGCGTGCTGAGCTGCTTTTTGAGTTGGTGCTGTCCCAGCTGAGAAGAGCTATTCTGTGATTAAGAAAAGCCCCTGCATCCCCCGTCTTGAATCTACATTGTTTTCACTTGGTTTGGGGACAACATTGCCAATCACGGTGCTCAATAGTCCTAGAAAATATTAGAAATAAGGGATATACTGGACAAATTCTGTTCTCACATTTTTCTCCAGGAGGATGGGTAGTCAGCCTGGGAGCTGCCTTCCTTCTCCCTGGCTGCCCTTGCCTAGATGATGCTGTTCCAGAACAGAGAATAGGTGGACAGCTGCATGTGTATGCAGCTCTCCCGGCCAGAAATATGGGATGCACTTTAAGCCATATCCCTCGCTCTTTGTGCAGTTGAAGGCAAGACAGAATAGAGGACTGCAATGTCCCCAGCCTCACCTTTAGTGCTGCTGCCACTCCAGGGACTTTTCCTGTCCTGATGCCAGCACAAGAGCATAGTATTGGAGGAATAAGAGGTGAGGTTGCTCACAGTAGTGAAGTGAGAAAGCAGCGGTGCCCTTTGAGCTAAAGTGGTCTCATCCTTTCCCGGCATCCTAAAAAGAGGTGGGAGGAAGAAGCACAAGTCACTGTATGCCTGCAGACAGTCAAAAATGAGAAAGATTTTCCTCAATTAGAAGAAAAGTTAAAGGAAGTTTTAGGAACTGCTTTAAGCACCACTTGAAAACCCAATGCATGAGGGGAGAAAAACCCTACTTCCTGAGAATTGGTGCTCCTATTAATTTTGCTGGTATCTCACTTTGTAGAGGCTCTACCATATGTGAGCCCAGCACAGCAGGATTTTGCACGACACGCTAAATGTCTCTAAGTGTTAGTTTGATCCTGGTTTCATCACTTGGTGCATCTGATCTTGGTAATTCTGAGGTACAGGCAGCACCCAGGAATGCAAGAGTGGTGTAGGATGAGAGCTATTTGAAATTAAGGGTGTCCCCTGCACTTGGAGGTAATTGAAGGGCAGGCACCAGACCTGGCTGGAGGGGAAGGAGCTGAAAAAGGTAAAGGACTTAGCAAGTCCCAGCTCCAGTGTGGGGAGCACTTAATTAAAATGTACAGCGCTGGGGGAAGTAGTGAACTGATCATAGGCTGCATGATGAAATCCAGCCGTAGCCTACTGCAAACAGACTGGTTTCCCTGGAGTTTCCAGAATGCAAGTATGGATGGTGCTTCACTTTACAGGCATTATCTCGTGCCACAGAGTTGTAGAGGATGGAAGAGCTGTTGTAACTCTCAAGAGAATGTCTTTTACGCTATTGGTGAGGCACTGCTGAGTCTGTTGGTGTTAGTTGCAGGGCTGTACCCAGTTCTGCAGATAACACCCGTCAGTCCTTAGGGCTGCTGGTTGGGCAGCTGTCACTGGTGCACTGGGTGTTGGCCGCAATAGGCAAAACATCCTTTTGGAGGATGCAGAAATCTGTATCTTCCAGGAAAGGGAGGTGCTGTATTTTGCTGAGATCAGGAACTTTTGCGCCCTTCTTAGTGGTTAATGCTCTTGTGAGAGTGGAAAGTATTTCTCCAAAAAAAAAAAAAAAAATCACAAACCTGAACCAGCAGTGCACCCCTGTGGTGATCGCAAGCTGATTCCTGCACCTGCTGCATTGCGTAGGATGTGGCCGACCTTGGGTAGGCAGTGTGAGCTTGGCCTTCTACACAGGCGCTGGCTGCCTGTTGGAAAACTCCCTTGTTTTAGCTCAAGTGCTGTTTCACCAGAAGCAGAGTGGTTCACGGGAAGTGAATTCAGTCTTCTCTGTGTTACTGTGTGAGTGGGTAGCTAGTTTCAGATGCAGCTTTTTTCCCTAGATCTTTACATACTGTAGTCATTACTTCTAAGGTTGAAATGTTAATTGCACTGTTACAGAAAGGTCCATATTTACTTTTCTGGGTAGATGCTTAATAAATAACTGCTAATAACTTTCCTTACTGCATTTCAGGCAGCAGCAGCTGGTCTCAGCTATGTTGGGGCCTACGTCATTAACACCTACAAGAGCTATGACAACTTTCTGCAGGACAAGTATGCTCTGTTGCCAGCCGTGATCATTATTTGTATTGCGGTGGTGATGTTCATCATTGGGTTGATCGGCTGCTGTGCCACCTTCCGGGAGTCTCGAGTTGGTCTAGGGCTGGTGAGTGCTATGTGTTCTTGCTTGTCCTCCTCTTCAACCTGTGGCATGGTCTGGGAGGTGCTGCACTAGACCTTCTCAAGATGCATCAAAGTAAAAATGTTTCTTTGACATACACTGCTGAAGCACTGCTCCCTCGTGCGAGTGAGGCACTGACTGATGGCAGGGTGCAGGCTAAATTACTAGCTGCGCTTCCTTGTACAGATAAATACCCACAGTCATGGTCTGTTTATGGCTCTGCCTCAGCTTGCTTGCTGGAGATGAGTGTGGAGAGCAGCAAGTTTTGAGAAGGGTGATGGTGAAGAAATTAGAGAAGTGAAATCTCCAAAGCAAGCAAAAAACAAAAGTGTTTTTCTGCTGACTTAAGTTCTCTGAATCCTGAAAGTACACTCCCACTTTTAGAATGATTTTTTGAGAACACAGAAAGGTTTAAGCTCTTTGAGTCCCCAGCTCTTGTGTGGAAGGCAGTATGAGCTCAGCAAGCAGTGCCCAGTGTTTCTGACCCGGCTGCTGACTTCTCTGCAGTCTCCTGTTTGAGAGCTGCTTTGTGAAGTGTTTCGTGGGCTCTTCAGAGATCATTGCCTCATGTCGGCGTTCAGGACGCTGCCTACGCTGGGCACTGGTCCTGTGGAACCACAGTCATAGGTCCAGCCACACGCAGTAATCTCGTATTCTAAACTATTTTGGTTGGAGAGGCAACAAGGGATTATAATTTACCACTATAAATTAATGTGATGGGTAACGTGCAGTTGAATTCAAATGCTGTGGAAGTCTTCCTTACAGTCTTTCTCTTTTCAGTTCTTGGCCATTATCCTGATTATCTTTATTGCAGAAGTATCTGCTTTTGTCCTGGGATTTGTCTACAGGGAAAGGGTAAGAAAAGAATTAGCTTCTCTATACTAACCTAAAAGTAAAGAACAGGTCTTTTGTTGTTAGAGCATTCCAATGTACCCAGTTTTCTTGCACTTCATCCCCTATCCTGCAATCTGCAGAGCAGGTGGGAATAGGGATGTCACCATCCGGTATGCAGATCAGTCTGCGAGGAACGTGTATAAAGTACCTGGCAGGCATTACAGCAATCTCTAAATTGCATTAAACAGTTGTTGATGCTGACAAAAGAGGGCTGTTCCATCAGGGGAGGCAAGCTTGTATTCGGGAACATGTTTCTGGTTAAGTGCTACTTCCATTTTGTCTAAAATATTGCTTGATTATTCCTCCTCTAGTTAAATTCTTACCTCTCATGGTAAAGCAGTATGTTCTGGGTGTTTTTCCTCTCTAAATAGGTAAAAACTGACATGCAAGGCACAATGCGCTCAGTCTTTGAGAAATATGATGGGAAAAATCCAGAGTCTACTGTTGTGGATTACTTGCAAGAACAGGTAAGAAATCACTTTAAATTGTCCTGGCAGTAATTTAGAAAAGAAGAATTGGGTCCTAAACAAGGAATTTGTGCTGTGAAGAGAGGCGAAGAAGGCCACTGTGGTTGTATCCTGGAACTGAGCACTGCAGCAGTGTTTAGCATGGGATTCTCCAAGGTAATTGAGGGTGCTCCCCACTTTGCAGAGTTAGCATTTTCAGGCTCCTGGTGTCAAGTTTGTGTAAATGAATGATCATGTTGACTTGAGTGGCCTTTGCATCTGACCAAATACGTACATAGGAATAACTGCTACTGAGAATCTCATACCATAAAATAGAAAGATGACAGACTCTATCCTTCAATATTTGAGCATTCACAAAGAATAAATTAATAAGGAGGTAATAGTGCACGAAGGGGACTTAATATCTACTGCTGTTTTCCTGAAATACTGCTAGTTGTAAATCTGCTACAGACTGTGGGCAGCCCTTGCCCAGCATGCATAGGAGATTTAACTCAACGTTACTGTTCAGGTTCATATATATTCATACATCCCTGTAACTATCCTGTCTTTGGCAGCTTCATTGCTGTGGGGTGAAGAACTACAGCGACTGGACGACCACACAATGGTTTAATACCACTGGTAACAACAGCGTCCCTCTGAGCTGCTGCAGGCAGGTTATGACGAACTGCACAGGGCGTCTGGATCAGCCACAGGATCTCAATACACGGGTGAGGATAAAGGACACATTTTCACAGCTGAGTCGTGATCACTCTCAGCCAGCCACAACCAGTGAGGAAAGCACTTTAGACAGGGTTGAGGGATAATGTCAATTATTTTCCACAATTTGTCCCACAAACCCTTTTCTCCCTATGGTTTTCCTTCAGCTAACTTCCTTCTAATATTTTATAAAAGCTCCAAGGTGATGAAGGAGAGTCATCAGTCTGGATGTTTTATCTTGTCTGTCTGCTGGTAACACTCCTCCATTTCGTCTTGCTACAGGAGCAACATGACAAGGCCAGAGTGCTAGCTAGGGTCGGTGTTGGAACTGGTACTGTTTAACA